CAGGTTCAGAAGTAGAACAGGGACAAGCAATGATTAAGGTCTCAGCCACGGAAGGTGGGTCGAGCAGCAGCCAAAGTCCTGGAGGTAGATGGAGTCAGTGAGAGGAACTCCAGGCGGGTACACGGGTCATCCACAGGTATACTTGGGGTCCTCGGGAAGGTAACAAGACTCGGAGGGAAAAGGACACAGGTAAACCAGGCACTGAAGCCTACAACTAACAGGGGAGATCCCAGAAAGCTGAAAGGTTTACAGTTTTCGGATACAGCCAGATATTCTGAGCCTCAAAGGAAAAGAGATTTGTAGGGAAAAAATGGAAAACTAATGGTTTGGAATAGGTACTGAGGAGCGAAGAGAATGCCAACCGTACTTTACAACCCATTTGAGGGGCAAGGCGGCTCCTACTCAAGAGAGCCACAGAGAAGATTTTCTCAGGGAAAAAAGCAGATTAATATAGAGGAATAATGTCAAGACTGCTAGGTGAAAAAGTTCAGGATACATAGGGGCGCCTGGGTGGCTCAATCGGTTAAGTGTCCAACTTCAGCTCAGGTCATCATCTTGCTGTTCAGATCTCGAGCCTCATGTCAGGCTCTGTGCTGACAGCTCAGAGCCTGGAGCCTGCTTCAGATTCTGTGTGTGTGTGTCTCTCTCTCTCTGCCCCTCCCCCGTTCACACGGTCTCTGTCTCTCTCTCAAAAATAAATATTTAAAAAAATTTTTTTAAAAAAAGGTCAAGGATATATAGAAAAAGGAAAAAGACAATAAAAAGAAATAATCTAAACATAACCAAAGAACCCACATGTAAAGCCCAGAGCTGACACCATACTCAACACAGAGAAACTGAAAGCTTTTTCTCAAACATCAGGAACAAGGCAAGGATCTTGCCACTTCTATTCAAGGTGGTATTGGAATTCCTATACAGAGTAATTAGCCAAGAAAAAGAAAAGGCATCAAAACTGGAAAGGAAGAAAAATTACCAGTTTGCAGATGACACGACCTTTTACATAGAAAACCCTAAAGATTCCACTCAATGACAACAAAAAACTGTTAGAAAATACAAATTTAGCAACATAGCAGAATACAAAAATCAGCACATAAAAATCCATTGTGTTTTTATACACTAACAATGAACAATCCAAAAAGGAAATTAAGAAAATAATTCCATTTACGATAGCATCAGAAAATGAATAGTTAGGAATAAACTTAACCCAAGCAGGTGAAAGACTTGTACACTAAAAACTACAAAATATTGCTGGAATTAAAAATACAAATAGGTGGAAAAACATCTGTGTTCATGCCCTGGAAGACGTAATTTCATAAAAATGTCCAAATAAGCTACAGATTCAATGCAATCCCTATCAAAATTTCAGTGGCATTTTTTGCAGAAAGAGAAAAAAAATCCTAAATTCATAGGTAACACAAGGGATGCTGAATAGCCAAAAGGATCTTGAAAAAGAACCAAGTCAGAGGCCTCACACTTCCTAATTTCAAAACATATTACAAAGCTATGAAAGCCAATGATACTGGCATGAATATACAGACCAGTGGAACAGAACAGAGCACCCAGAAATAAATTTTTTAAAAAGCTTGCATATATGATCAACGGATGTTAGACAGGATGCCAGGACCACACAATGGGGAAAGGACTCAAGATGGATTCAAGACCTAACTATTAGACCTAAAGTTATAAAATTCCTAGCGGAAAACACAAGGGGGAAAGCTTCCTAACAATGGATTTGGCAGTGATTTCTTAGACAGGACACCAAAAACAGAGGCAACAAAAACAGAAATAGACCAAGGGGATTACACCAAACTTTAAAACTCTTGGCATCAAAGGACACCATTAAGGAGTGAAAAGGCCACCGATGGAGTGAGAGAAAACATTTGCAAATCATGTATCTCATAAGGGGTTAAAGAATTCCTACAACTCAACAACACCAACCAAGGAACCTGATTTTTAAAAATGAGCCAAGGATTTGAACAGACATTTCTCCAAAGATAAGCAAATGGCCAAACAGTATGTGAAAAGATGCTCAACATCACTAATTAGGGAAATGCAAATCCAAACCACAAGATGCCTGTATCATACCCATTAGGATGGCCACTATCAAAAACAAAAGCAAGCAAAACACAAATAACACACATTGGTGAGGATGTGGAGAAACAGGAAGACTGGTGCTTGTAAAATGGTACGACCGCTATGGAAAACAGTATAGTGCTTCCTGATACCCTATGATCCAGCAATCCCACTTCTGGGTAGATACCCAAAAGAACTGAAAACAGGATCTGGAAGACATACCTGCTCACTCAAGTTCACTGTCATAGCATTATTCACAATAGCCAAGAGGTAGAAGCAACCCAAATGTGCATCAACAATGACTGGATGGAGAGAAGGTGGTAGGAACACGCATATGATGGAATGTTATTCAGCTTTTTAAGAAGGAAAACCTGCGATCTGCTACAACAGTAATGAATCTTAACAACGTTACACTAAGTGAAATAAGCCTGTCACAGAGCACAAATACTATATGACAATACTCATACAAGGTCCCTAAAGTAGTCAAACAGACAGAAACAGAAAGTAGACTGGTGGTTGCCAGGGGCTGGGCGGGGAGAGGAAGTGGGGAGTCGTGTGTGATGGGTATAGAGTTTCCATTTTGTAAGATGAAAAAACTCTGGAGCTCTCTTGCACAACAATGGGGACATACTTCACTGCCCGTACACTTAAAAATGGCTAAGGGGACCAATTTTTTATTAGGTGTTTTCTACTACAATTTAAAAACAAGAAGACCACATGGTATAAAAGAATTCAGGACGAAAGTTTGAGAAAAAGAAGAGCAACAGGACAACAGAGTTTGCGTTTTGAATGCACCCTTGAAGGTCAAGGGTGGAGGCAGAGCAAACTGAGGCCCCCAGGCTCCTACTGCAAGTTCAGGTGAAGAGCCAAAAATTAAGTCCTCCATTAAGAGCAACCTCGGGCTGCACGTAGCCCCAGTCCCAGTTCCAGGAAAAGCCTTAGACTTTTCAAGGCTAAAGCCATCCCTGGACCGCCCTCAGTTCAGCTAATCAAACAACATTCCTATGGTCTGAGTCAAGGCTGGGAACTGCAGATACAAACTAGCCAATTTCTCACTGCTTGCCTGAACCCCATGTGGGCCCTTTGAACTCACCTCATAATTGGTCATTTTCAAAGGATTCTCAAGAGTCACGATTGGGTCCCACCAAAAGTAATGAACACCTCACAGATACTGAACGGTCAAAGCTGTAATTGTAATTGGTGCTTATGTGATGATGCTACATGTACTGTAACACCCCCATCCCTTACTCCTTAAAAACCCTGTTCGCTATCGTTCTTCGCTTCACCTTGCTGCCATGACACCGGTAAGCTGGTGAGCCCCTGCTCGAGCTTGTAACAAAAACCCTTTTGTATTTGCATCGGTGCCGGCTCCTTAGAGGTCTCTGGGACTCGCGATTCGGGCACAACACAGGCTGTTTCTGATCTAATTCATAATGAGTCAGCCGCTTTTAAAGTCTCAAGATGACAGTGGCAAGAAATTATTAGGGTACCTACAAACCGTCTTAAACATGCTCATTTCCTCAAATCTTCCCCGGTAGCGAAACAGCAGTGATCCTTAGGCTGTGGGATGGTAAGTCCTCCCTGAAGGACTTCCCTGTGGCCTGGACCAGGTGCTCCCGCAAAGGGAATCCTAGTTCCCACCCAGGCAGGAGGTATAAGGACTCAAGGTAGTTAGAAAAGGGAGAGAAGGTACACATTATAGGTTTCACATTCCATTTGTGAAAACATTTCCTCTATCTTTTTTTTTTTTTTTTAATACATACTACCAATTTTAGGTCTGTTCATTATATGCTAATAGAATCCAAGTGCTGAGCCTTGAGAATACTTTGGGCGGGGGAGGTGGGGGATACATCCCATTTAATCCACAGCTGTAAAAAGCTAGACACCATGTTGCATCCACAGATGATCTGACAGGGGTGAACGGATGGCTTACAAAAATACCAGTATGAATCTCCTTTCCAATGTGGAGACTTCCTTTATGAAAGCCGTTTTTTTGCTTAACAAAGTAGTCATTCAAGACACCTGGATTTCAGAGTGCTGGTAAATACTTAAGGTGGAACCCTTAATCCCCAAATACTGTAATTTGATAGGCTCTCTTATTTGTATAGTTTTCATATAAAAATGTTACTTAAATCTTATTACCATGCTAAACCAGAAGGGAGCTCTGGCACTTTCTTCTCCCTTCATGCCTAGAGGCTAATAAAACCCATGACTGTTGAATTCCTTATTCAATCAAAAGGCTTGGAAGTCTTCGTCTCATTTAAATTAACCCAGGCTAGGGGCGCCTGGGTGGCTTAGTCGGTTAAGCGTCCGACTTTCGCTTAGGTCATGATCTCGCGGTTCGTGGGTTCGAGCCCCGGGTCGGGCTCTGTGCTGACTGCCAGCTCAGAGCCTGGAGCCTGCTTCAGTCTGTCACTCCCTCTCTCTCTGACCCTCCCCTGCTCACGCTGTCTCTCTCTCTCCTAGAAATAAATAAAACATTAAAAAAATAAAATAAAATAAATTAACCCAGGCTAACTGTATAAATGTGCAAAGTCACGGGGGTTGGAGGAAGCCGATTCAGTCAGGGTTCCACAACAGCAGTGATAACGGATCAAGAAACCGAAGGAATAAAATCCCAAGGAGACCCGAAGAGTTTTATCCCTGTCTACTAAGAACTTGGGAGGTGACTCCTCTCTCAATGTCTTCAGCTTCTGATCTCACTCCTACAATCTATAGCCACTGTTATCCAGGGTTAATGGCACTGCTATAGTTACAACTTTCGAGAATTGGTTACAAGAAGCCTTGGTTTTGGGGGTTTTTAACATTTGTTTTTTTTTTTACACCACAATGTGTTATAGAGAGGAGCACAGCTGAGCAAGATTTTGACCTTAGGCCCTTTTTATTGTTGGAGGTTGAAGACGGGGTGGGGGCTGTCAGATATTTACCAGTGTTTTCCATACAGCCAATGGCTTCCCCATGTCAGCAGACAGATCCCAGCTGTAGTTTTCTTCCAATGATTTCTAAGCGTTTTAAAGAACACGGTCATCTTCTCCTAGGGATTTGCTAGATGAATAGAAGCAGAAAAAGAAAAAGATCAGTACCCAAGGCCATTGTGTAGAGGCCCCACGACGCCGTCCAATTGCCCATCATCCCCATTTTCCTTCCCTCACTCCTGTTCCTGGTTACCGCTCCTCCGGCCTCCTCCCACCTGCTCCCTTCCGGGCTCAGCAAATCTTCTCACTGCCCACCTGCCTCTTCTTTCTTTCCTTACTTCCTTCTACCTGAACTCACTTCTTCCCCCGCTCTGCTCACTTAGGCCTCACTGTATCAGAAGCAAGGAGGGGTGGGAGAGCAGAGAAGAAGGGAATTCCAGGCTTCCTGCTTTTCTTTCTTCTTACAGTCACTATACCACTGTTTAAGAGTGTTTGTCTAAATAAACATTTTTTAAAAATTAAAAGAAAATAGAAACTAAATAATAGGGATGCCCAGGTGGTTCAGTTGGTTGAGGGACCGACTTCAGCTCAGGCCATGATCTCTCGGTTCGGGAGTTCATGCCCCACATCTGGCTCACTGCTGTCAGCACAGAGCCCCTTTCAGATTCTTTGTTCCCTTCTCTCCCTGCCCCTCCCCCACAATGTCTCTCAAAAATAAACATTAAAAAGTTTTTAATAAATGTTTGCCTATTATACATAAATGACTCAATAGATAAGTAATATAAAGTATTCAAAATAGAGGAAAACACTAGCCACTCAATAGGAAAATAAGCAGAGAACACGCACAGAAAATTCCATGAAGCGCTAATACAAATGACTGTGAAAATGTTCAACTTCCTGAGTAATCAAAGACATGCAAACTCCAAAGAACTATCACTGCTCACCTCTAAAATTAACAAGTTTTTTAAATGAGCATATTCACAGATGACAAGATGAGAAGAGAGACTCTCACGCACTCCTGTGAGCAAGGAAAATGAACACAACTTTACTAAAAAGCCAAGTGACAATATAGATCCTTATTCTGTTTGTTTTCTTTACAGCGTTGATCATGTGAGGATCCTTATTTGCTGATTTATCAGCCTCGCCCACTGGAAAGCAAACGCCATGAGAGCAAGCACTTAGCTCTGGTCCCGGCTGGATCCCCAGTGCCTAAGATAAGATCTGGCCCATAACAGTCCTTGGACAGCTAGCTAACTGCTGAATGTGATAGGGTTCAGGACATACTACCCCAAAATACGGCAACTTAGCACGTTGAGTATTTTAAGCTAAAGGAGTTTGAGAAACTGTCAAAAGCAGGAAGGTCCCTTTGGCCTCCTCACCTGACTCTATTTCCCTGAAACAGGTCATAAATTCCTCATATGAGGCACCCCATCCCTAAACCCAGAAGAAAGGAGCATCGCCTGCAAAGAAAAAAAGATGCCAAGAAGAATCCTAATGAACATGCCTTGCTAAGTTTCCCATTAACTTCAATTTCCTGGTACTCAACCTAGCGTATTCCTCCACCACTGTCCACTCTTCATCAAACCTAATTTTCTATCCACTGACCACCACGCTGCTCTTAGCTAGAAACCTCACTTGCCCACCGGAAGGAAGGGAGAGCAGAAACCAAGCCAGGTTTGTGCCTAGGGGAGCGACTGCATAAGGATTTCCATCATTAGGTTTGGAATGGAGGTTTGTGGAGAAACGGAATGTGTGCGGTTGAGGCGATAGTGAGTTTGGGATGCCTGTAGGCCACCCAAGTGGATAGCCAAAGGATCGGTGGATGCCTGGATTTTTGAGTTAAACAGTTTTGAGTTAAGAGAAGTTGGCTAGAAGATACAGATTGGAGACTCCTCAGTGTGAAGGAGGTCAAGTTTGACTGCAGATAAAACAGAACAACACACACACAAACCCCACCCAAGGCTGGGGCATCTGGGTGGCTCAGTTGGTTAAGCATCGGACTTCAGCTCAGGTCATGATTTCGCAGTTTGTGGGTTGGAGCCCTGAGTCGGGCTCTGTGCTGACAGCTCAGAGCCTGGAGCCTGCTTTAGATTCGTGTCTCCCTCTCTCTGCCCCTGTACCACACACGCACTGTCTCTCAAAAATAAACAAAACATTAAAAAAATAATTTCTAAAAAAATCACTCAAGGCATGGGTAGAAAGTCTGTTTAAAGATCCAATGGAACTCCGTTTTTGTCACAAAATAGTGATTCGTATTTATAAAAGTGTGCAAACGCGCAGGCAATCTAGTGGTGGAAAAAACACTGGTGCAAGGGTCCTGAGGCCTAGATTCCAGAGTAGCCTTATTACTTCCTGACAGTGAGAGCCTGGGTAAGTCATTTAACCTTTACCTCTCACTCCTTATTAGTAAAATCAGAATACACCACCTGCTCCTTTGGCTAAAAAGATCACATCTCAAAGAACTGTGAATGCACTCTGTAAATTTGTGTGTAAGTAAGTTGTCGTGGCAATGTGCAATGTATTAGCTAACAGTGCATATTCCTTCTAAGTACCCAACAGAATTCTTACTGCTCAATCTCTGTTAAAGTCTAAACGTTCTATGTTCAAATCAACATCTCTCCTCTGCAAAAGCAGGCTGGCAGGTTGGTTGGTGGTGTTTTGTACTGTTTTTTAAAGAACTCCCAAATTCTAATTGTATTCAACCTTCCCCACCTATCAGGTGAGGCTTTTCTCACTAGGCTGTGAACCCCTCCTCGGGGGCAGGTGCTGTCAATCCATCTCTAGCAAACACAACCTAGTAAAGCCTCTGGAATGAATGAACCCATCCGTCGATCAGCAACTGCTCGACCCATATTTGCAAGTGAGTAAGCCGAAGCCCGAAGGGAAAAAGGGAGTAAGGGTCCCACAGGCTGGCGACAGCTCAGGTGCAGAACCCAGGCCAGCTGACTCCCAGAGTGGCCGCGGGACCCGCCATCCACGCGGCCGCCCCCGCCGCCCCCGGCCGGCTCCCGCGGCTCCGCCCCCGCGCCCCGGAACCCTCGGCCCGGCCCCGTCCCAGCGCCCCGCGCCGCTCCCGGGCCCCGCGCCGCTCACCCGGGCCGCTCCCGCTCCGCGCTCTGCCTTCCTGTGTGCTCCCTCAACCTTCCCCCGCGCTTTTAAGGGAAACCGCGCCCCCGCCCTCGGGTTCCGCGGCGCCTTCCCGAAGCTCCGGGACCGTGCGGCGCGCGGGGGCCGCCGCCTGGGGGCCGCCTTCACTTCTCCTTCGCTCGTTTATTCGTCCGTTCGTTCCTTCCTCCCTCCGTTTGTCGCTCAACAGTATTTTATGGAAAGCCTACCAAGACAAACGCTGTTTTAGGACCTGGCACTAAATCCGAAAATAAGCGAACAGGGCAAATTTAGATCAGAAGTACGGGGCGGGGGGGGAGAACCTGAAACGCTGGGTATCAAGGGAGTGGGTAGGACAGCTCTTCTTCCTTTTTTTTTTTTTTTTAATTTTTTTTAATGTCTTATTTATTTCTAGGAGAGAGAGAGAGAGACAGCGTGAGCAGGGGAGGGTCAGAGAGAGAGGGAGTCACAGACTGAAACAGGCTCCAGGCTCTGAGCTGGCAGTCAGCACAGAGCCCGACGCGGGGCTCGAACCCACGAACCGCGAGATCGTGACCTAAGCGAAAGTCGGACGCTTAACCGACTAAGCCACCCGGGCGCCCCTAGGAGAGCTCTTCTGCATGAGGCTGTCTCAACCTTTCTGAGTAAGGGGCGACTGATCTGAAGGAGAGGGAGCAGGTCCCCAAGGATCTGGAGGGAGGGAACAGCCAGTGCAAAAGCTCTAAGGCCTGAGGCAGTTTGGCAGGTGGGGGGCGGGGCGGGGCGAGGCAGAGGAGTAATTGGGGCGAGGGGTGGTAAGGAGTTTGGACGTTATACCACCGAATGGGACGTCAGCTGGCCTGGGTTCTGGTACCAGAGCTGTCGGAGCCTGTGTAACCCTTACTCACTTTTTCCCTTTGGGGTTCGGCTTACTCATTTGCAAAATGAGCCGAATAGTTCCTGATCGATTTGATTGGGCCACACTAGATAACGTGAACCTGCTACCCCCTCTCTCTGGAGGTTCCGTCTGTAAATTAGGGGAGGGAGAAGATCATCATAAAACATACCTTCTAGCTATAAGATGTTGTGATATTGAAGGTATGGGAGACAGTTATTTTCATTTCTGTCCCAACTATTTAGAATATTTGCATTTGAAAATGAGTTGCTGGGGGCGCCTGGGCGGCTCAGTAAGTTGGGCCTCCAACTCTGGAGTTCAGCTCAGGCATGATCTCGAGGTTCCTGGGTTTGAGCCCCATATTAGGCTCTGTGCTGATCACGCAGAGCCTGCTTGAGATTCTCTCCCTTGCTCTCTCTGCCCCTCCCCCTCCCTCTTTCTCTAAATAAATAAATACATTTTTTTTTAAGAAAAGGAAATGAGTTGCTGAACTGCGTCCCTGTAGGCTAGAAAAATCTGGGACTAGATGCTGGATGGTCCAATGGGCAGACTAAGCTTTAAGGCTGCAGTAAAACAGTTCCCAAAAATGAGAGAAGTTCTGCCTGGATGAACTTAACCATAATTTCCCAATCAGAAAATCTAGAAAGAAGTTTTTTCTTAAAATTTAGGAGAGGAAAACTTGATTTTATTTGAATGGAAGCCGTGTCCTGTTGGACGGATCAGGCATCACAAGGCGGATGCCCAGAGTGCCTGTGAAGATGGCTGAGCTGGCAGGTCTCTGCGACCCGGGAGAAAGCCACACCCCAGAAGAGAGGCAGCCTCCTTGGGAGGTCAAACACAGACATGCGTAGCAGATCTGGCCTCACTGGGGACCATCTCTAATAGAAAAGTGCTCATCAGGCCAAGGGGGGATACTTGTTAGTTTACGTTCTTTCTTTAACATGTAGGTTTTATTTATTGCAGCCAGCACGGTGGCGAATGGGGATGGTGATGTCACTCTGTTGTGTTCCCAGCAGAGAAATCTGGAAACAACTCCCAGGCTTCTATATGGATTATGAAACCAGAAAAGATGAGGGGCTCAGTCGGTTAGGCGTCCGACTTCGGCTCAGGTCATGATCTCATGGTTCGTGGGTTTGAGCCCCGCGTCGGGCTCTGTGCTGGCAGCTGGCTCAGAGCCTGGAGCCTGCTTCAGATTCTGTGTCTCCCTCTCTCTCTGACCCTCCCCTGCTCACGCTGTCTCTATCTCTCTCTCTGAAAAATAAAACATTAAAAAAAAAAAAAGAAACCAGAAAAGATGAGACATCTCGACACAATACAAACCTCAGAATTACATGTGCGACAGAGGCATGTGGTGGGGGCTGGGGGCACATGCAGTGGGGGCAGGTCTCTGAAAGAGACCTTACGTTCCCTTCTTCAGTTGCACGCTTGTATAGATAGAAACAGTGGGTCCTATGACTCAGATATGTCACCTGCAAATGGGAAGTATCTGCATCAAAATAGGACTAAGTCAGAAATTAGTCATGAATTCATCTTCAAGGAGTTAACGGGACCCATTACACGACACGTATGTACTGACATTTTAATGCATTGTGGTCGTATCCTATTTAGTTTTGAAGTTATATAACTCATACTATTAATATTTTCCCTATGGTAACTACCTTTTTTTGGCTACAGTTGGCCCCTTGGTTAAGCTAACTATTGTCCCCTCAAATCGTTTCCAGCGGGACACAGTTATAAATTGACTAAGGACTGTCCATGCTTTATCAAACTTAAACTTCCACCTCTTCACTCCCACCCCAGGAGGGATTATAGGGAAAGCCGCATCTTAAACATGTAGCTTGGAAATGTGTAAAGACAGATGACTCTAAAACATGGAAACTTCCCAAATGCTCTTTTCAGGCATCATTACCAGCATTGAGTGCTGGACATGGAGATGTACCACCTGCTGTCCCAGCTGCTAGGGGTGGTTTGGGCAGACTGCCTTCAGCTGTTGGCCCCTTCAGGGACAGCCTCCAATGCAGTGAGCCTTCTTGACCAATATCACGC